AGGAGGAGAAGGAGGAGAAGGAGGAGAAGGAGGAGAAGGAGGAGAAGGAGCCACCTTCAAAATGCCCTCAATGAGCCTGCAGCAGGGGTGGGGATGGTTGACAGTGATGAAACTTGGGCAAGGTGAGCACAAATCTATATAATACTCCCACCCAACCCATCCTGCTGCATACGAGGATTCAGAGCCTGAATGTTGGAACACTGCTGGGAAGGGCCAGAGTTCCTAATAGTGCCAAGGGTTTGGTGCTGAGCTGTGCAGCACTTCTGGCTGTTCCTGGTGCAGCAACCACAGACCACCTTCCAGCAGGCTGGGAGTTGTGCTAATACAGATGTGGTAATACAGCCTGCCCCTGCCACCGAGAAACCTCCAACATTATCATCAGAGCATCCCCCCATGCAAAAGCAGCAGTGTCCATCCTGGGGGCTTGGAAGTAGTCCAGGGAAATCAACACTGCCTGAGCTTGCTGCCTTTCCAAGCACTCCCCAAAACCAGCCACATCTATTCCAAACAGATGGAGAATGAAGGGAGGAAACCCCATGCATGCACTGATAGATCTGCATTACAGAAACTCTTTAGCAGAGACAAGCCATACAGGGGCAGGAGGAAGCCCTCTGTGTCCCAGCCCAAATCCTCACCTCTTGTACCACACTTCAGCCTCTTTGTTCTGCCCCAGGGAGCGGTGAAGCCTGCCCAGGTTCACCATGGCCACGTGGTGAGCAGGGCTCAGGAGGATGGCCTGCCTGTAGTGGGACATGGCTCTCTCAGGAGACCCTGGAGAGGAAAAAAGCCATTAAACCAGAAAAAAACCCTGTGCAGCAGAAAAAACCTGTCTCAAACTCAGCACACAGTAATGTTCTGGCTTTCTTTCTTCTATTGCTCTATGCATGTGTCCTGGGGTGACTTTATGATGCTTGTATTATCCCCATTTGTCTGTTTAGTCCAGAAATAAGTTTTGCATCTTTAAGACCATCCGAGAGTGAAGGGGGAGAAAGAAGAAGGGCAGAGTTTGTTATCAGGAACTGCACTTGCTCACCCACATCTGTCTCATATACTGGTGCCTGCAGACAGCAGGACAGAGCTCTCCTTTGCTTTTAGTTAGTTTTTAGCTACCTGAAGCAGAGAAGTCCTCTGGACTGTGGTTCTTCTTTTTCTTGGACCTGTTTAACCCTGCTCTGGACAGAACACCCAGCAGAGCACCGGCAGCTCCAGCTGTGGGCACCGGGCCGGGCCTGGGCTGTGGCATTTCCAGCACTGGAGGGACTGACAGAGACTGAGTGAGCTGAGCTACAGCCCACCAAGGGACTTGCTGAGTTTGTCATCTCTTTTGGACTGGCAAGAGGTCTTATTTTTTAATATTATTAATTTTTTGTGCTGCAGAATGCTTTGTCTGCTAAATAAAAAGATTTTTTACACTTTTCTCCAAGGAAATCTTTTCCCAAACCAGTTAGGGGAAGGGCCACTTAAATCTGCTTTCTAGAGGAACCCCTTTGGATGTTTTCTCCCAAATTTGCCCTAAACCAAGAGAGCATGGAAACATGTTGAGAAAGAAATCCTGCCTCAGCATTTTGAATCTACACATAAGAGAAACTGCTGTCCAAACTATGATTTAGTCCCCAATATTCAGAGACAATCCTGAGAAAAAGATTTTCTAGGGGGTGGGTTTTTTGCAAGTTAAGGATCCAGTCACAACAAGATGACTCCTGACTGAAAGCACCCTTTGATCATGCAGCAGTGGGGACACAGCCCCTGTGCTAAGGACAGAGCCCATCTCAGGGAAGGGGCTGGGGCACACGTGCCATCTCCTGGTGGAGCATCCTTTTCACCCTGGCCCCCTGGAGAAACAGCAATGAAGAATGAAGAACAAGCCCCCAGTAGTCCCCAAACACCACCAGAACTGCAAATAGTTTCAGCTCTCTCCAAACAGAGATTTTCCCTCCACCTCTGCTGTGTTGCTGCTCTGAGCTCCAGCTCAGTCTCCATGTATTGCTCAACAGGACAGGGAATAGCTGCCAGGGACCAGCTAATTCCCACTCTGGGCAATAAATCCCAGAGCAGAGGTGTCCAGGTGGTTGTTTTGGAGCACCATCTCTGTGCTGCACAGGAGCCATTGGGTGGCACTGCTTCACTGTGTGAAAATGTGCAAGGTCCTGCAGCCCATGACATCACCAACACCACAACAAAACACAAGCACAAAGAGAGGTACAAGATCACTACCCCAATGCATAAAGTTCTACTTTTAGTAATGTATTTTTATTTAGCTGATAATGGTAGAAGTATAAAGTTCCAGCATTAAAACAATGCAAATATTGCATTTTTAATCCCAGGGTCATTTAATTGGCTTGCAAACTCCAGACCAGATAATCTCCCAATGAAAACCAATACTAAAAGAGCTTTGCCCACCAGCAAAGCTTTTCAGTGTTGGTGTTTTTTTTAACTGATTCACTTCACAATATGTTTAATTCCATTTCAAGCTGGAAAACAGATCTCAAAAACGCCAGTGCGTGTTGGGGAACTGAACATGCTGCTGTGGGAATTTTTTTTCATATCTTCACAGATGTAGTTTGGTTTTTTTGAGACCATTTATGCAACTTAAAATATACAATGGCACATCTCAGCATCTCCTTTATAGGAGTGAGGAGGAACATCTGTGCAGAGGTTCAGAAGTGTTGAAGACTCACCCAAGGCTGAGGACATGTTGTTCAAGGTACCACTTTTTCAAAACATCCACCAGCAGCCTCTATCTTTCCCCACCACTGAGCAGGCAGATGTTTTTGAAAATTATACCTACAAAACATCCTGGGAAGCAGCTGGGCACGTACTGCCCCTCAGCCAGGCAGCTCAGCACACAGGGGTAATGTGCATCATCAAGGGAGACACACTCAGTGTCTGTGACCAGTGCAGAGCTGTCTGGAGCTGTGGCTCCCCAGAGCTGGCAGTGGCTGCACGGAACCCTGTGAGTGAATTGCTGTGGTGCTCCCCAGCATCTCCCTGTGCCGCCGGCGCGGAGCGCGGCCGCTGACAGGCTCAGCAGCAGCCACTGCCTTCACGCCTTGCCATGCCTCTAGCAGGGTTACTGACACATCAGGCCCCAAGGAGCAGGAGTCAGTGGGATTTTTTTCCAGTTGTTTGTCTGTAGGGAAGCGTAGGAGTAAACCAGGAAATGATAGTTTTGACTTTGGCAGAGTACGAAAGTGCAAAAAAACAGAAAGTGCTCTGCACTGCATTTGAACCACAAATTTTGGCAGGAATAGGAGTTTATCTGGACTGGCAAGCAAAGATGAGTACAACATGAGAGGGAAATTACTCAGGAATCTTTATTATTTGCAAGCTTGAATTTTGCCAGGGCCCAAATTCAGAACCTGAACCTCTCTTGCTAGTGCCATGATGCCTCTTTTGATTATGAATATTGATTTTGGTTCTGTACTTGTTTCACTGGTACTACAGAGAGGTGATGGCCAAGTGTCAGCTCAGAGGCAGAACAGCCAGTGGCAGACTGATAGACACCATCTCCCTTCTTCCCAAGCACCACTGGAACTGGGCACGTGTGATGGGGAAAGAAGGGGTGGCAACCACACACTTCAAGCCTACACTGTTTCACCACTGAGTCTTGGCTCTGTTCTGGGGGGACCACAGTGAGAAAACAGTCCTTTTCCACCAGTCATTTGTCAAACTTAGCTTTGCTTATAAAGCTGTCAATAAAAGGTGGCAATTAAAGTGACATTTCTGTTGCTGTTATGTGAATGCCAGAAAGTGCCAAGTAAGCTGGATGCGAACCAGAAGCCCAGGAAAAAAGGATGCCATTACAGAGCTCCTCAAAAATCAATTCACCCCACAGTGTATAAGGTTTTGTTTTCACAGATTACTGTGGTTTAAAAGCCATGTTGCTTTCTATAGTGGTGGCACTCAAGCCTTACAGTCAAAGAGCTGCTTTGTCACCAAGTAGGGCTGCACATGCTCCAGAGACCATAATGATCCATTTGTGTGCCTGTGATTTGATTTGATGTGGCCATGCCTTGCTGGAAAAAAGGCAGTACTGTCAGGGTGCTGCCCAGCTCACACTCAAGAGGCCAACTGCCTGTGTGAAGACGGTGACAAACACTGAGGGGAGCAGGGGGGCTGAATGAATGCTCCTGCTGCCCAGTGCCTGCACTGATAATGAATTCCAGTGCACTGTGCCCTCTCAGCAGCACAGGGATATTTATTTCCAAGCTACCACGGAGGCACATCTATTGCCTTGGAAGCTTTTGACACCCTTTTAGATGTGTACTGCTGAATAAAATAAACCAAAGCAAAGCAGACAGAGAGGGGAAAATCCCGTGCTCCCTCTCACTTACCAGTGTCAACCAGGAAAACGCCGTAGTTGTTGTGCAGGTCTGAGCTCTCTGGACAATTCTCTATGCCAGCCTTATAGACCTCCTCAGCCTCCTTGAGCCGTTCCTTGAAAGAGAAGGAGCTCTCTTAGCCATGGCAGAAACTCTGTCAGCACCATTTGCTGCATTCTGGGACAGCTCCCTCACTGCAGGGGAAGCTTGGGGAGCCCACATCCACCCCACCTTCCAAGAGGCCAAAATCTGACCCCATGGCATGGATGTGCTATAGCTGCCATCTCGTATCCCAGAGCAGTTCACACAGCTTTCCCCCATGCCTCTGCTACCCATGAAACACCTGGAAAAAGTGGTGCCTGTGCAATGCCAGTGAAAACACCTGCAAAAAGTGGTGCCTGTGCAATGCCAGTGAGTCCCCAGCTGGGTGCATGCCCAGCCAGGAAAAACACAGCAACAGGGATTGGGCTGGTTCTGTTGAGAAATATCTGTCATCTGGGAGTGGATATGTTCTAATTTATTTGTTTAATGAGCATCTCACTGGCTAACTTTTCCCCTCTGGAGTTATGCTGTTCTTTCCTTAAGCAGTGAAGAAAATACAAGGAATGAAAGCTTGCTTGTGTGTGATGGCTGGAAGCAAGTGCAGGGGGATAAAGGAAGGTGGAGAAAGAGAGAGGGTGGTGAAAGAGCAGGGAAATCTGACAAATTAAATTAAAACCAGGCATTGTCAGTGTGTGAGGTGGAGTTCACTGGGACTGATGGGACATGCAACCATGCTGATGCCCCAGATGCACTGACTTCTCATTTTGCATAGGTTTTCAGGGAAGTTTGCTGGCCCTGAACATTTCTAGAAGATATAGATCTTTTCTTTGGAAACACCCCGCCTACAGACAGCATCCTACTAGCCTAAGCTACGGGCAGCCTGATTCTGAAACAACAATCAGGTTTCTCCTTTGGATCAAAGAGCAACTAAAAAAGGTTTGCACTTCCCTCCACAGTCAGACCACATGTGCCCACTGCCTGCATGCTCACCAGCGTGGGTGCCTTCCTTCCCCCCACCTCAGAGCCTGGCTGCCAGCTGTGCTTGTGGAGGGAGGCTGTGAACAGAAGAGACAAGCACAGAGCAGAGGGGTGTCAGGAGAGCCTCCAGCACCAAGGATGCTCCTCTCAATTCTTCCACTGAGCAGCACAGCCCTACAGCAACAAACTCCAAACCTCCCAAGAAAGCAAATTCAGCCAAGTTCACTGAAAATTCACCTCCTTCACTGAGCAGAGCCTGCAGCTCCCATGCTGAATCCACGCTGAAATAAGAGGTGGCTCCACTCCCAGCTATGGACTGTCCTCAAAGCCTGCAAATGGCTGAGCCTCCTGGGCTTTCCCTGGATTTAAAATCTGTACCTGACAGCAGCTTTTGCTGCACAGCTGCTTAATGTGAGGAGTCTTTTCTCACCTCCTATCTCAGAACTGGAGAGCTGGAATAAATTGCACTGAAAGAGGATGACTTGATCAGAGAATCACACAGCCTGCCACAGTTAAGTCCCTTCACATTTACATGATAAAGGTCAGCCAGCAAAAAAAGATAAGTGTGCAATAAAGCACAGAAGTACGTTTTTTAAAAGTGCTTAACTTTGGAAGTTTTGGATAAATTGATGTGAATTTGACAACATTATCCTGCAGAGTCAGGAAAAGTGTAGTGATCATCAGAATTGACTAAATTGAAGAGCAATTTTTTGTGCATATTTTCTAAGATTTATGTCTTTCTTTCCCTCTGCTTTTAATTTTTCAGCCAATGAATGCAGCTTTGTATGCCTGTATGTCAACTTATTTTATTTACTGATCATAAACCAAATTTTTTTAAGCAAGGGAGGGCTGTGTTAAACTAGATTAGAGTATTCCATGTCAAAACATTCACCAGTATTGAGCATTCTAGCATTTTTATGGTGGTTGCATTGCTTTTTTGGCACCTAACATCCTGACCCTGCATGCCTCAGGCTCATTGCCCAGTCTAACAAAGTGTTTGCATTAAGCACAGTCAGAAAGTGGCAAGGGTGGAACCTGCTACTCCTGCCAGAGCTTTCCCTCCTCACAGCCTCTCCTCTTCTCAGAAGAAACAGAGCTCCAAGTTCATCAAGGCTAGATTCTCATTAACACTTAATAATGCCACTCCCAGACCTTCATGAAACATTCATCGACCTCACAAAACTCAGAAGACTGGCATAAAAAATGTGTGAGATTTTTATGATATTAAAAAATTATGCATATGAGAATCTTTCAGTTGAACTCCAGGGTTTTTAGGTCTGTTTTTAATAAGGCTCAGTTTTTCAGTTTGGTTATGCCTGAGTAGGCTCTCCTCTGCAGCTAAGTGGGTTATAAAGTTTCTTTTTCTAAGAAACACACACACACAAAATCAGATGAAGCTAGGGCCTGAGAAGAGGCACCAAGTAGCACAAAATGATGGATGAAACTGAAGCTGGAAACTGTGGGGAACCAGTGTTAAAATGTTGTGAAAACAGGCAGCAAAAATGTTTGATTTCTGTTACCAGCACTACTGCAGTGATCACAGAAATCAAGGAAAACAGCCATACATTGCAACTGAGTTACAAATCCAAGCAGAAAGAGCAGCCAGAAGGGCAAGCATTTATAAAGGCACAAACAAGCCAAGCTGTTCTATATAATACAGCAGTGGGTTTTTGTCTGCTCTGGCTTCAGAATCAGCTATCAAGGAGAGAAAAGGGCAATTACATGAAATTACAGGTTAATTCCCTGGCATCTGAGCCCTTCCTCTTAGCAGCACTTTTTACAGGGATAGAAGGTAAGGAACCATAAGGTCTATTTCAGATTCATTCCCTTTCACATGGGGGGAACATGCTGTGCATAGCTGTGCACCCACCAAGACAATCCTGGTGCTATTTCATGCTGTCCACACATTTCCCTTTTAGCCTTGGAGGAAAGCTGGAGAAGCAGAAGCTGTCATGGGCATCTCATGCAAGTTATTTTAACAAGGCCATTTAACATTATTATTTAACCCCCTTCCTATCACATCCCAGCAAGAGGGACTGTCATTTGATATTTTCTGAAAAATCTCCAGGATTTCTTCTCCTGGGAAGATGAGAAGCCTCAGCTTCTCCCTGTTTTGCTGCTTTGGAATGTGATTTGGATAATTGTTTACCCAGCACGTGAATTGTTTTGACTTAATGACCAATCCCAGTCAAGTTGTGTAAGGACTCTGGTCAGTCATGGGTTTTTATTATTAATTCTTGTCTAGCCTTCTGATATATCCTTTCTCCTTCTTTAATACAGTTTTAGTATATACTTTCTTTAATATACTATACTATACTATAATAATAATTCAGCCTTCTGAGAAACTTGGGGTCAAATTCTCATCTCTCACCTCATCCTGGGAACCCAACACCACAAGGGACCCAATGGCTCCTTCCCCAAAACTCCACTGTGATCCATCCTGTAATGCCTGGCCTCACAGATACGCCCACAGCTGCCACACAGGCTCTGGGCCACAAGGAGACACAAAAATACTCCTTGGAACTTTTAGCCCTTTTCAGCTAAAAGTTTTTATTGCTCAGACAAAGAGGAAAACCCAAAACTGAAAAAAATGAGCTCCTGTCATCATCCTTTGGGCTGAAGATGGCAAAAGTTCTGCCCATACCCCCGGAGGCCATGGGCAGCAGCAGGTTCTGTAGGACAGACTCTGATGGACCCTGACCATCCTGTGGTCTGCAGGATGGATGTGTGAGGCAGGAGGTGCACAATCAAGCAGGCATCTGCTGTGGCTGAACATGAGAAAGTGTTAAAAGTCTGCAGAAAAATCGCTGTTTTCTGAGAAAATTGTACTATCTTTTTTGCCTACCACTTACTCAAGTCACAAGAGGATGAACAATCCATATGTAAGAGAGATGAATTATTGCTGGACTTATTAATGGCATTTGCTTTGGGCAGAAGGTCTCAGGACTCTATAGTGGTTTTTTGCTCTGCTGACCTCGCAATCGATCGTTCTAATTAATAATTTCAATTAATATTAAAACCAGGTAATGGTGCAGAGGACCCATTTCCTATACTTGCAGGACACACTTAATTGATGAGCTTATTCAAAGCAGGGCTACCATTCAACAAGGCTTGTCTTTAAATTCAGACACGATATTTTGAGATCCCTGCAGGTAATATTGATAATATTTGAAATTCTCTTAAAAGGAAAAATAAAAAAAAAATAAAAGGGGGAAAAATAAAAGTGAAAATAAAATAAAAATAAAATTCTCTTAAAAGGGAAAATAAAATGAAAATAAAAGGGAAATATTTGAAATTCTCCTAAAAGGGAAAATAAAATAAAAATAAAAAGGGAAAAAAAGGGTAAATAAAAAAAAATAAAATGGAAAAATAAAAGGGAAAATAAAAAAAAAAGGGAAAATAAAATAAAAATAAAAGGGAAATATTTGAAATTCTCTTAAAAGGGAAAATAAAATAAAAGGGAAAATAAATAAAAGAGGGAAAAAAAGGATGCATTTACAGAGCTCCTCAAAAATCAATTCATCTTTCAGTAATTCACATACATCATAGGTGAGTTTTGCAGAATGCCTACATCCTTGAAGAAGATTAAACAAGACCTCTGCCTATAGTTTTGCTGAAATTCATCCCCTTCCCTTACACAGAGAAGATTTCACTAACCAGAATAATGGAGAAGAGCAAAAGATACCATTTTGCTTTGTCTGTATTTATATTTTAAAAAAGCTTCAGCACCCCATACTATGGAACAATTAGATTTGAAAACTGGAGGGGAAAAAAAAAGATTTTTTTAACAGGTTTTCAGAGGTGTGCTGGAGCTGTGGAGTTACAGGCACCTTGTCATCCACCCTCAGAGCCCCAGAGTGGGAGCACAGCACAAAGCACAGCATCCCTCACCTGCTGCTGCTGCAGGTGTGCAGGGAGGGAGAGCTCAGTGGTCCCAGTGTGGGCACTCACGCCCCCATGACTCCTTCTGAACTCGAGGATTTTATTCTTCAAGTTCTCTTTTCCTCTGTGGGGACAGCATTTCACCTCACAGGGATGTTGCAGAAATAAATTATCTAACTCCAGTGAGTAGGGAGAGCCTGAGTAATGAGCGTGGGGAGCAGGCCTGGAAGGAAATGAGTAATCCTGCCTGCAGAGCACAGCCTGGGCCATGCACAGCAAATAAGGCCTGGAGGCACCTGAACCACGAGGTTAAATTAAATATTGAACAGCTGCTCATTAAGAGCAACATAAAGCCAGGGAGCCCTCCCACCTCCCTGCTTGTGATCATCTGCCATGGTGATCAGGAGCTGTACCCTGTGTGTGTGTGTGTGTGTGTGTGTGTGTGTGTGTGCAAGGGGCAGAATCTGGGCTGCAGAGGCCACCTGGTTTGTGACAATCCCCAGCTCTGCAATGATTTATTATGCAATCTCCAGGCTATCTGTGTAGGCGTGTGTGTGTGAGGGGAAGCTCGCCTCTCCTGCTGTCACAACATCCAAGGTGCCATGGATTGAGACTTCTCCACAGAGGCAGGGAGGGGATTTACTCACAACTTCAGCAGTGATTTAATTCAGAGCCACACCACGTGGGTGCAATTACTCACTGTGGATGAGTTGCCTCCCATCCTGGAAAAGCCATCTGCAGAGCAGCCTGAGAGCTCTGTGCAGACAGCGTGGGCCCACGCCTGCCACCATGGCTGAGTGAGGTGCAGGAGGGGCTGTGGCAGCAGTGCAGGGCTGGAAGGTGCAGGAGGGGCTGTGGCAGCAGTGCAGGGCTGGAAGGTGCAGGAGGGGCTGTGGCAGCAGTGCAGGGCTGGAAGGTGCAGGAAGGGCTGTGGCAGCAGTGCAGGGCTGGAAGGTGCAGGAGGGGCTGTGGCAGTGGCAGCAGTTCATGCACACCAAGACACAGGGCCTGAGCCATCCCTGTTACCTGCTCAGCCAACAGCGAGGCCAGGCTTGAGTAGGCATCTGCAAACTCTGGGCCGTACTTAATGGAGTCCCGCAGCAAGATTACAGCTTCCTCCTTCTTCCCTTGGGACCTGCAGGAAGGAGAGGAAAAAAGCCAGAAAGGAATATTCCTGTAAACACTTGTTGAGGTTATCCCACTGATTAACTACTTTAAAGAGAAGTGGAAGTGCCCAGCTTGCCCTTTTCAACAAAGACTAAATGATTCATTCACACCTCCTCTCCACAATGTGAGCACCCAGCACTTCCTCAGGACAGAGGATTTAATGAATCAATACACTCCAGTATCTGAAGGGAGGGCACCAGAGGATGGAGGCACTGTGATCTGGGAACAGGACATTCCCTCTCACTTCAGTAGGCTGGAGACACTGAAATCCTTAATTTCCTTTACTAAAACCTTGAGGAGACTCTGCAGTTCCTAGACAAGTGGTCTTACAGATCCACTTCCAACTCCATTATTTTGAAATTAAAATATCTCCAAGTTAAATCTGCCTGGGATCTCTAAATAATTCCTCAGCAAGTCGATGATTAGGCTGGAGGAGTTCTATCCTTCAGATCCCAAGGATTATGAACAGACAGCTGAAAGATGGCTGTGCTGATGAGCTAGGTTTTTTCCTGGCATTGCTCTGCATTTATTGCTATGGAAAATGGAAAAGATTTCCCTAACAAAAATCTTGAGATGTTTATTTATTTGAGCTACAATTTCTTCCCTTTGAAAAATGAGAAGGTTTCCTGAACAAACATCTAAGGATGTTTAGCTGGGCTGAAACAACATTTTCCTTGTGCTGGGTGTACAAAGAATACGAATAGGAGGGCTTAGAAAAAGAAACCAAGGGCTCTGGGGAAACAGAAAATATGTGAACACCTTGCTGCTTTGGCCTTAGATTTCATCTGAGTGGCATGGTCAAGTAACCAGATCTTGTTTATAAGGTGCAAATTTCAGCTGATAATATATGTGGCTTTGCAGATTTTTCCCCTTTCTAGTTGTGTAACTGGGAGAATATTTTGCCTGTGCATTAAGCTAAGTAAAACCAGTTGTGCTAGTCTTTTTCTTCTTCTAGTGCTGTTCCACATAAATTACATGAATGAAGCAAAAACAAATAAAGAACCACTTTTCTCCTACACTAATTAAAGTCTAGCTAGCTTGTCAATTTATAAAACTTTGGGATCCCTTGGCTGGAGTTTCATGACACACATTTTTATAAATCAAAACCAGATGACTGCTTAATAAAGGTATTGATGTTTGGCAGAAAATGTAGGAAATGCCCGCTACAGAAATAAAAGGATTAAGTGATCCACTCAACAGCAGTAAAAGTTCCCATTAACCACAAGCATTCACGCTGAACATGGGGCAGCCCTCTTAATTACTCTTTCATTCCAACATGGCCTCTTTTTTTTCTCCATTTGATCCAAGAACAATGTTTGCCTCCTGAAAGTGGGGGTAAAGAGGGAAAGATTATGGCATCTTTTTATGTGACAGACTGAATAACATTAAAAAAAGCAGATCCAGTAGTTTCTCAGAGGGCTTAGGCCTGCAAGATACCAAGCGCTCTGGCCAAGCACTTAAATGTGTACTTAACTTTTATGCATGCAAGTTGAAAATTAATTACTGGTTGAAGTGCTTTCCTGGCTCAAGGCCAACACTTTGCAGGATCAAGGCCATCTCATATAAAAATCTCCTGCAATTTGGGAGAGCACAGAGCATTGAAAGAGCAGTCCAATGTACTAATTTACCATAAACTGGGGATCTGGAGCAGGAATAGTTAGGTAATGTACATCTTTTCTGTGATAGAAAGAAGAACAAATTCATCTGACAGGAGCAATCTGTGACCACTTATTCCAACTTTTTACCCAAATTACCCTGATTTACAATGCCCTCTCTTGACTCCCTCTCCAACCTAAGCCCACAGCCTTGCCTCTACAATCAGCATGCTCAAGCTGAAAACAAGGAACAGCTCTTTCCACTTAGAGCATCTCTCCCATATTTTTGCAAGTTGGAGAAGCACCAGGTTAACCACCCTGCCAAAGCCTGGCAATGCACAGGGCTGCTAGCACTGGAGCAAATTTCATGTGCAGCAGAGAGCAACCAAGGAATTAGTGCTCTAAAGGACTTGATAACCTTCATCTTTTATTTTGTGAAGTTATTGAGACTGTACTAAAGGCAGAAACACAGAAATCAACAAGGGCCCACAACTGTTTGAACAAATTTTTACAAGGATACAGCAAAGCCAGAGCCAAACTCTTGTAGAGGTGCAAAATGACAGGACAAGAGGCAACAGATGACAGAGTAGGAACATCCTGATTAGACAGCAGGAAAAGTATTTTTCACCACAAGGGTGTCAAACACTGGAACAGGTCACACAGAGAGATTGTGGCATCTCTGTCCTTGGAGGGATCCAAGATTCAGCTGGACACAGCCCTGAACAATCTGGTCCAATCAGACTTGCTCTGAGCAGCCACCTTGATCTCCAAATGATCTCTAGGGACCCTAGGTTATAACAACAACTTAAGTTATTTTTTCAATCTACTGCAAAAATTTGACTGCCAGAGTTTGTGGGAGTTTTTAACCAGTCTCCAATGTTACTGTGATACTGAGGGATAACTGCAGCACTTCATGAGACACAGAGTACCCTGCAGAGACCATTCAGTATCACTGAACATCACCACTCAGTTTGCTGCTGAAGGAGCAGAAGGAACATTTCACTAGCTAAAAGGTCTTAAATCTCAATACATTAATTTCTATCTGATGTTTTCCAGATAGATAGATGGATGGATGGATGTTTTTCTTTCCATCTATCTATCTATCTATTCACCTATCTATCCATCCATCCATCCATCCATCGATCTATGACAGTTCCACAAGGCTGTGTCAGCACACTAACATCAGAAGCCTGTATCAGAGAGGGCAGACAGTCCTTCCTCTTCTGAATAAATGGCTTTGCTCAACTGGGACTAAATCTCAACAACAAACACTCAGGACATGTTGTGTGTTTCTCCACACAACGTAAACTCAAGATTCAGTGGAGATTGTGTCTAGGCATTTCATTTTCCCCTTGAAAATGAAGCCATGACACTCTCAAAGCATGTGAGGCCTTTCTTCATAAGGAGCAGGGTACTGGACACTGCAGTGCTTTAAGTGTGGATTGATTGATACACTACAAATAAGAAGGTCTTGTCCATTATTCCGGCAGCAGAAAGCTGAGATTGATATTCATTTCAAATGTTCATAATATATTATTTCTTGTCTCTTTGCAGAAATACCCACAGTCTATAAATTCATGAGGTATTCTGAACAATATTTATCTGTATCCCAACAAACCTGAATTTATACAGAGGGTCAAATACTCAAAACAGAAGAAAGCAGCATCAGGCTGCTCTGTGCCACTGATCACACAGACCATGAAAGCAGAGAGATTTCTTACTTTTAGGCAGACCATCTTCTAGGTCTATTTTAAGTAAGAAATCTGCCAGCATTGTTTAATTATCTGCTCTCCAATATTTATATTAGGCACAAAAATGATGACATACAACTTTATTTCAGGATATGTAAACAAAACCAGAGGTTTATTCAGCCATTACCCTGCAATACTTCCTGAGAACATTCATCTTCTGGCACATAGCTGTCTTCTTTATGTGTAAACAGAAAATGGAAACATCATTTTTCATCTACGACTTCCACAGAAAATAACTTATAAATTCCACCCTGTGTCCTCAAAACAGTTTTTACTCAAGTTTAAATCACAAGCAATGGATGCTTAAATAGCTTATTTGCATGGAATAATGAAAGGCAGATTCCCACATGGCAATGACAAACCCATCCTTCCAAAATCCTGGACTTCCCTTCTCTCAGCACTCGAGAGGAGATGAAATCTAGGATCTACCATCAGATTTGCAGACTGTGAGCAGAGATGGGTACAGGGAACTCAGCAGAATTCAACTGGGACTTCCCCATGCCAGACAATTTCATTCCATGTCCCAGTACAAGCAGTGCTGTTACTGGACATGTCTTAAGTGTTGCACATCTGTCCCCTCCTGATCTGCCCCAAGCTCTGAAGCCTTTGTAAAGAGGACAGAAAATGCTTTTATTGCTTGACCATTTATCTTCTCTCTGACATATATTTAAAAATCAAAACACTCTTCATAATGTCTCATAACACAGCCAGAAAGTAATATCTGTCTGTAATATTCTGCAGATTTCCATTTTATTTCATTTATTACCCATATTAAACCAGATTTAATATCTGCAGAATATTGGCTACCATATATATGCACATTTTTATATATATGAAAGACACAGGTAGAAAATATAAATAAAGACATCGTTGTAGGAAAGGGAAATGTGAAATCTCTGCCTTGTACCTGTCTGGTCATCTCACAAGGTCCCTCATGCTCCAGCATGGCTGATGTTCTTTGCTAAGCTGCAGGATCATCTAGGAAAGGTGCTGGCCAAAGGGTTTGGGATCCTGTTTTAGGGGAGACATTCATATAGGATCTGCCCATGGAGCACCTGCCTTATATATGTGCTAATTCCTGCACTGTGAGCTCCACCTATTTTTTAGCAGGTTTTTTAAAATTGAGCAGGGAGATGAAGGCACTCAGCTTCCAATACAATTAGCACTACTGCTGTGTGCAGATGCACTGCATTGTTTTGGAAGCCTAAGGGAAGTTTAGAAAATGGGAGCAAATGGATGTGGGGAAAGGGCAGGAGGATCCTGAGTGCTTGCTTTTGACAAGTTTAGCACAAGCATCACACACATTTAACATGCTGCAAAATGTGGCATCACAGAAGGATGCAGAGCACATCCAATCCAGCAGGACACACAATATCTTAGGCATCACAATGTGAAAAACATGACATATTGCACAGAAACCAAACAGCATTTCTAAGACATTTTCCCTACATGTCTCCTTTGTGCTTTTCCGTGCAGCAAGTCCAGTTTTTATCCATCTGGTGGGTCAGAAGCGCCCTTTGACAGGCCAGATTTAAGCATAATTGACATGAAATGTCCCAGTGCTTCTTCTGGCTCAGATCCTTTGCATTAATATTTTACATTAAAAAAAAAAAAAAAAAAACTCCAAAACGTAACAGAGAATAGTAACTAAGGTACACATGATGGATTTAAAAGACAATATGTATTTTTAAACACCATTGCCACCTAAAATTAATTTCAATCAACCAAATTTGATGAATAATACAAAGACCTTTCTTTTCTCTTGTAATAAGACTGTACCACTTTCCTTCCGTGTATTTCCAGTAAAGCACTTACATACTTTCTATTTAAGATTACTTATTTACCATATTCTAACCTCAAACCAGTAGATTTACTTGTAATATTATTCTGATAATTTCTCTGCTTCTGAACAGACCAGGGAGTTCAGCAGCCCACTTAACATCCTTTATACAAATCCACACTCAACGTTACATTTCAGGACCAGAAAGACCAAGTTTTAATGACATAGTGCCACTTTAAAACCAGTCCCACACTAAGCCTGTCACAGTTTAACCAGCACTGTCTGCTCTAAAAGATTTACCAAGACCTATTATCAGCAAAATAAGGGCAGTTCATATCAGAAAAAATGTACTTTTCCTGCTGTAGTTTATGCAGTTCCGTCAGCAAATAGACCACAATATCCTCACAAAACCAAGGACCTTTTTGCTGGTGCTAAACAGAGATGTTTTACTTTTTTTAATTGAACCCTTTGCAGATCTTATCATACTGACTTCTTGTACAGATCTAAGTTTAGTCTTTAGATGTGGTTAGTCAAATTAATTTGCATGATTATGATTGTCTGCTATTCTCCTTGCTACAGGCTGACACTCTTAACAACAACAAGTGAAGTAATGAGCTCATCAACTTGTTTTTAACTGTTCAGGGATGGAAACCAGCCTTCCCCTCAAATCCAGACCTACCTGCTCTGCAGGGGAATGAACTCTGCTGCTCTGAGCATCTCACCACAAGGTGCTTATGCCTAAACTATACATATACAGCTAATGAGGAGAAGTGGGAACTTGAAGAGAGGGATTTTTTGGGTATGTGTTATTTATTAGCTCGGCATCTAATGCCCACCTTTGAACAATACAGCTTTCTCTCCTGGAAATATTCACACATCTCCACCAGGATGGGGATCTCAGGTGCCTAGGTGGGTTTAGGCAACTCATTTCTGATGCCTGGAACAAATGCATTTCCTACAACTGGAGCACACTCATGAACAGCACCCGGAGTGATGTGGCACAACACAGAGGGATATCTACAATAAACCACACCTTTGTGCCAACACTTTTGCATGGCACCAAGAAACTACACCATTTCTTCACCAGCTAGCAGAAAAAACTACTTTGGTGATGTGTTTAGGGGCAATGTGAATTTTCCTGATGCCCCACCTGCACTCAACTTACTTGAGCAGGTTGCCAAGGTTGAAGAGCGCTCGGTTGTGCTGGGGGTTGAGCTGAAGGGCCCGTCTGTAGTAGTCCTTGGCCTCCACCACGTCTTTGGTCAACGTCCCCAGGTTGTTGAGAGCACTTGCGTGACGAGGGTACAGCCTGGTAAAAATGGAACAGCAAGTTACAGGTGCTCATTAATTAACAAATAAAGCTGATGTGGCTGACTCTGCTACCAGTGCTGTTTGGCACTCAATAAAGGGAAGAATGTCAGCCAGAAAACCCTGCTTTCCCTTAATTTGCTGCAGGTCAGATGGGATCCTGAAGACCTTTTCAACTCCCAGTCAGATTTCCTATGGCTCCTATATATCTCCAGGGCAAAATGGAACATTTGGAAACAAATGGAACAAATTGAAAACCTATCGTACCCTTCAAGCAAAAGGCATGGTGACTAAAGCAGCTTGAATGCTTTTATTCAAAACGCTTTTGCAACAAGCAAGAACTGCCTTGCCAAAAAAGGTTTCCATGGGAAATAGGTTTTGATACACACAGAATTCAACACAACACTGTTTAAAATTATTGTTGGGTTTTTGACATTTTTTTCACAATAAAACTGATAAAAAAGTGCAAAAGGAAACCTGAAATCAGCTGCTGAACAATGCTTTCAAGACCAAGCAAAATGGTAAAAGAATCTGGAACCAGATTGCTTAAGAATATGATTTCTCTAAGCTTCTTGTAGCATTTGGTTCAGCACAGTTCTCCTTTTATCTGACCTGTTGATCTTCACATCTGCCTGTTTCAGTTACATCACTGAGCCCAATGCATCTCTGTTAAAACTCTCCACGAATTAGGCAGCAGGTCATGGGCCATGCAGTGGTTTATAATCTCAAAGTTCTGCTCCTACATTAATATTTTAGTCTGTAGGTCTTTTGCCAGAAAACTCCAGAGCTGGAAGTGATCCAGGGCTTGATGAAAGCACCCAGGACCCTTTGTGTGATAGGTAGGTGAAAACTGAGGGTCATTATGATAAGGAAATAAAATTTTTGACAGACACCCACACAGGTCCTTGGAGACCAGCTGTGTGAGAAGGTTTGAGGCTCTGAGACCAAGGCATCTGACAGTTCTTTGCCTCAGGTCCCTGATCATGGGAAAGTGATGTGGAAAGTGACATTAAAAGTAGTTGGCCATGAAAGCACAGGGTACAGCATGAGAAGGGGCATTTAAAGGTAGAAGGGATTGAGATTCTCTAGTATAGCCTGACTAAAGTTTGCAATTGTTTTTAATCCAAGACTTTCCACTGCGGGTTTTTTGCCTGGAGTTTTTCACTGTGTCAGCTCAGCCCTAGGATTTTCTGTGCTTAAGTACCATGAATAATTTAGCATTTTATACACTTCTGCAACATTTGTATCAGTCACATTTTCACTCCACAGCTCATAAATTATTTTGGCAAGGTCTTATTTGGGGGTGAAGCTGGCAGCATTCACGGGAGCTCTGGGAGAAATGGGCATGCACCACTAACAAAACCAGGATGTTTCCTATCATTAAGTAAGAGAAAAGCTCAAGTCCTTTTTTCACCTAGCAAACAAGGACTGCAAAGCCACACATTTGAGGAGAAATTGTTCAGGGATGCAGCCACGTGCTTTTTAAAAACTTGAATCTTGAACAAAGAACATCTTAGGGCAAATGACCACAGGCTGAGTCTTGTTTCCATTTCCTCCAAGGGACTTTGACATTGTTTTGGACCAAGAAAAAGGTCTGGGAGTTAACTTTTTCAGCCTTTTTAACCAGATGGATATGATAAAAGTGTGCACTACTTCTGTCAGTACTCACACATAAAACAGCTCCAGTATTTGACATGAAGTCACCTGAGTTATGAGCGGGCAAAAGGATTTCAGACAACTCTTGGGAAAGTCAGAAACAGATTAACATTTTACAGCCCTAAACCTGATGGTTTTTCTCTCAAACTTTCAGAAATTAATTCTGTTCTTGGCCTTTAGTGCTCCTGTGGCATTTTAGGCCCAGGAGATTTGCTTGCACCAATTTGGAGTGGAATGAAAACTCAAGATTTAAAAAGGGAACGGATTTCACCTTTAAATTGCACAGTTCTGACCAGCAGCTCCATAAATACACTTCTGAGCTCAGTGCTAAAACCTCCCAACAGCAAATCACAGGATGCAAACACATCTCCCATGTATCCTGGGCTCTATTTCTTGTGTTTTACATTTATTCATTACATCTCATTGCCCTTTCCAAGAAATGTAAGTGAAAACCCAGAACCTCAGCAAGCACAAATTACCTGCTTAGCATCTGGCCTGAAGAACTTATGAGAACTTCAATTTTACATGTCTGAACAAAAGTTACCAGAAATTCTGACCACAGCGAGATAAGGTGGTGCTGTTGGGCTTTGCTGCTAGGGTTCAGCTCTTTCATTTCTCTCCAGATATTTTATTTGGAATATTACTTTTTTATGGTGGTAGAGCAAGCTGCCACTCAACTGAGTTCAGCAGAACAACCAGGCCTAAGAGAGCATTACCTCTGGTGAGGAAACCAGAGTCTGAGCCCATGATCATCCATGCTGTTACAGAATTATTGAATGTTTTGGGATGTGAAGGACCTCAACGACCATCTGTTCCAATGCCCAGCCACTATGGGCAGGGACTTCTTCTACCAGACCAGGATATTCAAAGCCCCATCCAACAAGGCCTTGGACACTCTCAGGAATGGGGCATCCACAGCTTCTATGAACAATGTGCTCCAGTGCCTCAACATTGTTACAGTAAAGAATTTCTTCCTAAAATCCCATCTAAACCTGCCCTCTTTCTGTTTATGTTGCTTTCACACCACCCTCAAACAGCTCCAAGGAGTGGTCCAGGCCTCAGCTCAGATCAGGATTTGGTCCCGAAAACCAACTTGGACTTGGCCACTGCCTCTCAGAGGACACAAACATTTACTAAATACTTCCAGGTCAATTTATGCCAGTTGACCTCAGGGCTAGAGGATGTGCACCAGATCATTTTTTATTTATTAATATGGATGCTGAATAAAGGACTAGCAGCCCTATTTAAACTGCCCTTTGTTCAGGCACACCCAGTGCTGTTAATAACAGTTCCCTGGGAGTAAAAACACAGCAGAAGTCTTGTGCAGGATTTATGCAGGAGCACAAAACTTGACCACAAGCTACCAAACGAAGCAACTTTTACTCAAGAACTTTCAAAATGGTTCTGCAAGACTTGCAGATGCACCAAACTCGTTTGATTTTTTCTTGTTGTAATGGAGGGAGACTCATTTACTTCTCCTGCTCTGAATTATCAGGAGATTTGTGCTGCTTATCAAGACTTCTGGAATTGATCTCTAAAAATCCTGATACTCAGTTTTAACTTGTTATGATTGTAAGTTCTCTAATGCAAACATTGTCCCTTCTCCATTCTTCATTCATATGAAGAATGTATTTACTTCTTAGAAGGGTTAGAAACACATACCAAGGCAGGAAGGTCTCCAATTAAGCTGGAGTGTCTGCGCCACAATAATGGCAATACTCAGAATCCACACTTTATTTTATAAACCATCACTCTGAATACACTGGGATGCAAGAGATAATTGTTGGCATATCTAGCTTGTTTTGCAACTTCTCTTAAGAAACAAAGCTTTCTATCTGGACATATACAGGGCTGTGTTTTCCTTGCCACCACCACTGATAGTGGTAACAATCTGCAGGCAATATCCTTCTTGCTATGCATCTGATTAGGTAGAAATTCCTCTAGGCTTCACCTAATCAAATGCAAGTGCTGCATTATTTATGAAAGAAAGCTGAATTTCATTAAACTTATTCTACAAGTAGCAGTTCATGTAAGAAATCAGTTTATCCTTTCCTTTAGAATTCAGAATAATTTTCTTTAAAAATCTACATTCAAGGATAATTATAATAGAAGTCTTGAAACAGCAAAATTATGGGAAAGCAACCTATAAAAGTATATTTTAAAGCAGATGGAGATTTCATTTCTAAAGAGAAGACAAGTGGGTTGCTTCCTTGTTGTAGAATGAATAATTCAAATGATTCCTCCAATGCTGTATCTGCAATTGTCAGAATAAATTTCAGCAGCCTTCCCTTTAACTATTACAGGTATAGACTGCACAAGAACTCCTGTTAGTGATTATCCCCACTTCTTTTAGGTTAGCAAAATTCCCTCTAATACCACTGAACAAAAGCCCTACTGACTTGCACAACCAAGAGATTTCCAGTTTCCCAACAGAAAACCAGGTATAAAACATATACAGCTAATGAACATTTATTCTGCTTTTTCATTTAATGCCACTATTACCCGAAACATGATGGGTTTTGAAAAAAAATTTGAAGGGCTTTGTTTGGCTCCATATCTGAATTACAAGACAATTACAGAAAGAAGAGAAAGGGATGAAATTTGTTGTCATGACTGCAACCTATGATCCACCAGGAATTTTAATTCTTTTAATTCAGATCGAGAGAGACCACTTAAACAACTGGCAAGCCCTGCTCACAGCCCTGCCTGGTCTGGTGCCAGGGGTACTCAGGGGGAGGAAGGCATTAGTGTGACAACTACCCACTTGCTCTTAAAGAGCATTATGTGGTTTTTGTACAGCCATTGCTGGGTGGATAGCAAGCAGCAGGGGATGGGGGCAGACTAGCATGCAATTAGCCTGGAAAACTACCATGGACAGCAGGGAAAAAGCTGTAATTGCATCTTTCTGGGGTATGGGCAGCTCCCCACAACCACTGCACGATGAAAGAGGTTATTGAAAGCAGCCCAGAGACGCTGCTCAGAGCTGGGACAGCCCTGACATGTCACATGGGAGTGACTCTTCCTGATGCCCTTCATCACTCTCCAAGGGTTGACAATAAGCCTGTTGAAAGCACATTCCCAGTGACTTACAACATGAGTTCTTATAACCATTATAAAACTTGTAAGCAACTCTGGTCATCATTAATCCAACAGCCATGTCATGCCAGCAGCAGCAGAAAGACAAAAAAACTGCCTGCATCAGCTTGCATAATATTCAAAGGAAGTCCAAGTATATTAATTTCTTCTATAAATTAAAATAATAAGTGAAAAATAATTTAAAAATTAATTATTCAGTTGGAGAGATCTAGTGTGCCTGGTTTTTGTTAACACATCTTTTGATTAAAT